GAAGTTAGAACACGCTTTGGTGATGGTTTTTGAACTATGTTAGTGGTTGTAAGAATAGCAAGTGGTGTGTGGATTTGAGGGATATTAGAACACAGAATCAATTCAATATGGGGAGTAAAGGGACAGAAAAATCAAGGATGACTTCCGGGTTTTTGTCATGGACAATGGGATGGATGGAGGTGTGTTCCCTGGGTTGGCCATACAGAAGGCTCTCTAAGAAAGTAAGGAAAGTGGGAAGGATTGCCTACCAGCTGCTCATGCAGAGAGCTAGAGGCTGGGCCTCTGCTGACAGCTCGAGTCTCCACCACCGGTGGCTCAGAGCTCCTGGGAGCATCATATCTCAGGGGAATGATTAGGGTGTTTACTTCATTCTTTGCAGCTTGTCAGCCTATTTAGATTCTTATGTATCCTTCTCCCCTCCTGATCCCCTTCCCCCACACACACACTCAAGATGCTCATTTCCCCAGTTAGATTAACCCCCAGATACTGATGGAATCTTAAGCACAAGCAATAATAATTGATTTGCATTTTCTATGACCTATTGCCTAAACTCTATCTTACTCCTCTAAGTAAAACTCTTCCTCCCTCCCTTCCTCCCTCCCTTCCTCCCTCCCTTTCTCTCTTTCTTTCTTTCTTTCTTCCTTTCTTTCTTTCTCTCTTTCTTTCTTTCTTTCTTTCTTTCTTTCTTTCTTTCTTTCTTTCTTTCTTTCTTATTATATAGGTTACTAGAGGCCCAGTGCACAAAATTCATGCACTGGTAGGGTCCCTAGCGGCTGCCAGCTACTCCCTACCTTCTCCCAGCCCTGCCCTCTGGTCAAACTCCCGGGCAACTCCCAGTTGAGGGGACAATTTGCATACTGAACTTTTATTATATAGGATTATACAACTCTATAATACATCATCTGTATATTATATTGTGTGTTCACCACAAAGTTTCTAAGTAAAACCTTTCAGCCCCCATCTACCCATATATGAAATCTTTTCATGATACCTAAAAATATCTTTTACATTTCTGTTGACAAGTTCAGGTCTCTATAGGCTCCCTATAGACTCTGTCTTCCCTGCCCCAGGCACTTGCCCCCTCTAAGAACTCCCACTCATTTCTTCTCCCACACAGTTCTGTGTCTCCACTCCCTGTAAGCACTGATGCCAACTTCAAAGATCATTGTCCTCTCTTCCCTGTTTTGTGGGCTGCCTTAATCAGTTCTGGCTACTCTAACAAATTACCACAGACTGGGTGGTTTAAGCAATGAACATGTATTTCTCACAGTCTGGAGGCTGGAAGTCCAAGATCAGGGTGCCTGCATGGTCAGGCTCCGGTGAGGACCCTCTTTCAGGTGACAGACTGCCTGCTGACTGGCAAAAAGAGACCAAGAAAGCTGTCTGGGGTCCCTTTTATAAGGGTACTAATTCCATTATTAGCTCCACCCTCATGACCGTATCACCTCCCAAAGGTGTGGATAGAGACCAGAGTGCTCTGGAACTCATTAGGTATATTTAGCAATATCCCAACTCTTTTTTCTCCTGGGCAGGTGGTAGCTTTGATCTTTCTGCCAGGCTTGGGTTTAGATGTGGCCAGTGAAAGTAAGCAGAGAGGATGACTGGTACTTCCAGGTGGCAGGTTTAAAATCTGGTGCTTCCTTTGCCATATTCTCTTTTCCTTTGTTCTAGAAGGAGGCCAATGATGATGAAAGCAGAGTCACCTACGAAGGACACAAGGATGAGCAAGAAGCAGGCCTCTATAAGCCACTGGGATTGGGGGTCAGCTGCTAATGCAGCATAACTTAGTTTATCCTGATCAATACAGGGGTCTGTCAAGAACTGTGAGAAATATAAAACCGAGATTTTATGTTGCATGGAAGCTAGCAGCTAAGTTGCCAAAGTTACAGGGATGCTGGCAGAAGACACGAGATACCTGTGTCAGAGATCAAGGATTTTATTCCTCACAGCACAAGAATCATGAGCCTCATTGTTACATTGGTTTTCCTTGCCCCCCTCCCTCACCTTTTCCTACTGGGACAATGTAGAATGGCCCAGATCAATGCTTCACCCAGTGGGTTGGTGTCACAGCTGAGGAACCCCAAGCTTAGGAAACCCGGGTGTTTTTTTTAAATAATGAACTGCAAGCCAACATCCCCCCTTTGTCCTGGAAGGATATTGTCTTTATTATGCTGGAAAGCAAACAAACTTCCCCTACACTCTGGAGGGAGTCATTGTCTCTACTTTCCAAAGATTCTCACTGAAAAACATTCTTGAAAAGATACTTTGGAACAAAATTTGTCAGTGCCTCTGTGTGGAAGAAGTGCAGAAATATGAGACTCATGGAGAATTGTCTTTCAACAATGTCTTTGGGAGGATTTTGGAGGCTGTGTCAAGGAGACCGGCCTTTATCTAGTAGGCAGTGGGGAGCCATCAAAGCTTCTAAAATGTGGTATGGAGAATAGAGGATGGATTGAAGAAAGAGAACACTAGTACTAGAGCTAGGAGAAGATTAGGATTAAACACTTAGATTGGGGAATTTGAACATCTGAAGGGAGCCCAAACCACTGGGTTGATCTCTACTTGGGTAAATTCTGTAACCTTCAAAGCTCAGATCAAAGGGCATCTGGTTTGGTAGTTTTTCAAAAGCAGAAGCTTTTTGTCAAAGCAGAATAATGCAGACTTGCAACCAATAAAACAGATGGAAGGTGATAAACTTTTTGACACAATAATGGGAGCCCTGGAGCCCTGGCCCTCAGCTCCCCCTGTCCCAGCAGATACCCCGAGACTTCTCCTGGAGCCCTCGGTAGCCACAGACTATACTTGTTGACAAGTTCAGGTCCCCATAGGCTCCCTATACACTCTGTCTTCCCTGCCCCATTGGCCCAGGCAGAATTAACTGCTTCTTCTCTGTTCTCTCAACAGCTTGATCTTTTTTCTGTTTTCTTGATTAAGGTATTACATATGTGCCCTTATTCCCCCATTGCCCCCCCACCCCCCGCCGCTCATGCCCTCACCACCTGGTGTCTGTGTCCATTGGTTATGCTTATATGCATGCATAAAAGTCCTTTGGTTGATCTCTCCCCCTTACCCCACCCTCCCCTGCCTTCCCTCTGAGGTTTGAGCATCTGACCGATGCTTCTCTGTCTCTGGATCTGTTTTTGTTCATCAGTTTATGTTGTTCATTATAATCCACAAATGAGTGAGATCATGTGATATTTGTCTTTCGCTATCATAATGCTCTCCAGCTCCATCCATGCTCTTGCAAATGGTAGGAGTTCCTTCCTTTTTACAGCAGCATAGTATTCCATTGTGTAGACGTACCACAGTTTTCTAATCCATTCATCTGCTGGTGGGCACGTAGGCTGGATCTTATGGAGAGAGCAGCATTTGTCACCTTGACATGTTTGCAGAAAGCATCCTTAACTTTCATCTCTGTATTTCCCAGTGCTCAGCACAGTGCCTAACCCCCTTGAAGGCTGCCAACCTATGTTTGCTGAATTGAACTGATGTGAAAAACACATCAATGAAATAATGATAGAATTACGTTTTTGGGTAAAGCTTTGCACTTTAAATTTAATGAAATACGACACAATACCTGAGGCTTAAACATGGGCAAGTAAGAATCAAGAAAATAGAAAGATAACCTTTTCTATAGTGAAAGTTTCAGTTTTAGGTTGTTTTAGTTTGCCTAATGTCCCAACAGATGCTTATTCAAGACACAAAGAGCTTTTTCTTAGAAAGGAGACCGCAGTCCAAATAAATAAAATCCTTCAAATTAGAGTAAGAAGATTGCCAGACCTTCCTCAAGAACTTAAATCCATTCAGTCACCTGTGTTTACTCTGCCAACTGATGCCAGCAGGATATTAACTTTAGAAAAAACTAAATAATAATAAAAAGGAAGTTGAACATGTCCTATCTAGTTGTTATAGCTGAGTGGAGTCCGCAGGTGACTTGGTGACAACAGTTAATGGTATCTCAGAGGACTCTGCATTTTCATGGGGCTTCATACTTTTTAGGATATGAATCCAGAAATGAATTCTACAGTGGGTAGAATTTCTATTATTCCTGTCTGGTTGTGTCTTGGTCACTGTGTCTGTCTGAATTAGAGTGAGGAGGGAGAGAGGGAGAGACATACCCAAGATCCCATTGTGAGGATGGATCCAGGCTTTGTAGGGCTGGAACTTAGGCAATGTTTGGATCTCTTGCTAAATAGAAGAATGCGAAATTAGATAGGAAAAGTGAATGTTTATTCAAAATGAGAACAGAAGCCATAGCAATAATATTTTTATTAACTAACTACTGGACACACCTGTATAATGTTATTTTAAAAGTTATTTTAGCCAGGTGGCTCAGTTGGTTGGAGCGTTGTCCTGTACACAAAAAGGTTTCAGGTCTAATTCCTGGTCAGGGCACATACCTAGGCTGCCGGTTTGATCCCCAGACGGGGTCTGTTGGGGACGCAACTGATTGATATTTCTCTCTCTCTCTCTCTTTCTCCTCTCTCACTTTCTCAAATCAACAAAAAACATCTTCAGATGAGAATTTTAAAAAGGCTATTTTAGCTATACTTTGTGTTTTCATATGACAACAATTTTGTGGTCTGAGAATGCAATGCTTTGTGAAAGTGAAGGGAGGTAGGTCCCTAAAGAAAAACTTGGGGCTGTTGGCAGAAGAAGGGGGAGTAAATGTTAAAAAGGCAAATGACAATTGTCTGCTCTATACGTGAGCACAGTGGTCACCAGTTCTAGGCCCTTGTTCTCTGGGATCCTCCGACTTCCTTGTCTGGGATAAGTCAGAATCCATGGGGTAGAAGAGGACACGCAGGGCTCTTTCCTGAAGGCTGGCTGGCAGCTGGGCCAACTCCAAACTCTGCTCTTCTCTCCTGGAGGAGAAAGTTGGTATAAACAACAATTTTAGATGAGCTGCCGAAGCGTGGGGAGAAATATGGGCCCAAGGATTGTCCTGAGCTATCAGGCCTCTAAGAAAAATTAGTGCTCAAATGATCTTTGCCTCCCAGCAGGTGCTGAGAGGAGCATCAGAGGACCCCAATTGAGCATCTGACCATTCCCAGGCCAGTAAGGTCTGTGCCTTTTCTTTCCTTCCAATCTCTGCACCCAGATGTCTGGTGAGTGACTGGTGAATGAATTTGGCAATAGTTCCACTTCCTGGCTGCCTAATAAGAAATCTCAGGCCATTTGATTTGGTAATGACTGGAAAGCAGAGAAAAGTGATTTTTGTTCTTTATTCCTGGGAAAGGAAAACATAAAAAAATCACTGTTTTTTCTCCAGGACTCCATAGTTTTCAGAGAGGTCTGACCACTGGTGGGCCCACAAATCTGATATAATTAAAGCCTAATAATGGCCATTCACCCAATCAAAGCGTAATATGCTAATGATATGCTAAGGATGCTCAACTTCTTGCTATGATGTGCACTGACCACCAGGGGACAGATGCTCTGACCAGTAGGTTAGCTTGCTGCTGGGGTCCAGTGGATTTGGGACTGAGTGAGATGGGCCGGACATGCCTTGGAGCCCTCCCGTGGTACCTCCCTGGCTGGCCAACCTCCCTTGTCCCTCCCCGGCCCTAATCCTGCATAGGTGGGGTCATGGCTGTCAAGTGCAGTGGTGGTGGCAGGAGCCTCTCCCACCTCTGCAGTCGGACATCACCTGAGGGCTCTTGGACTGTGAGAGGGTGCAGGCCGGGCTGAGGGACCCCCACCTCACCACCAAGTGCACGAATTTTGTGCACTAGGACTCTAGTTTTTTCATATAAAGACTGAGCAGACTTCAACCAGATTCAATCTCTCTCTCTCTCTCTCTCCATCATCTCTGTGATTCAGGAAAGATCTGTGATGAAATTAGACATTACTAATGTTCTCCAGAGTGCAGCTTAGTTGGGAAAAGAGGGAATCACAGGAAGCAACTGTAACTGGTCCCTTGTTTGAGAAATGCATAGCCTGTAATGATTACTCTACTTGACCTTTGTCTTACACAATATTTTTAGGGTTTTTTTTTTTTTTTTTTTTTTGCTTTGAGTACAGGCATAGAATGTTTTGCAGTATGGTGGTTTATAATTATTTTGTGAAAAATGTATTTGGTCTTTGAAGACATAATTTATGTACATCAATGGCGATAATTTAAAGATTTTATATACTAACTAGATGCTCGGTGCACAAAAATTTGTGCACTCGGGGGGGGGGGGCATCCCTCAGCCCGGCCTATGCCCTCTTGCAGTCTGGGACCCCTTGGAGGATGTCCACCTGCTGGCTTAGGCCCTGGGGGATCAGGCCCAAGCTGGCAGTCAGACATCCCTCTGGCAGCCCTCGGGGGATGTCCACTTGCCAGCGGGGAGCAGGCCTAAGTTGCAGTTGGACATCCTTAACGCTGCTGAGGAGGCGGGACAGGCTCCCACCACCACCATTGTACTGGCAGCCGTCAGCCTGGCTTGTGGCTGAACAGAGCTCCCCCTGTGGGAGCGCACTGACCACCAGGGGGCAGCTCCTGCATTGAGCGTCTGCTTCCTGGTGGTCAGTGTGTGTCATAGTGAACAGTCATTCCCAGTCATTCTGCTGTTAGGGTCAATTTGCATATTACCCTTTTATTATATAGGATAGAGGCCTGGTGCATGGGTGGGGGCTGGCTGGTTTGCCCTGAAGGGTGTCCCGGATCAGGGTGGGGTCCCGCTGGGGTGCCTGGGTAGCCTGGGTGAGGGGCTGATGGCTGTTTGCAGCTGGTCACACCCCCTTCAGGGTGGGGATCCCCACTGGGGTTCCTGGCCAGCCTGGGTGAGGGTCTGATGGCTGTTTGAAGGCTGGTCAAGCCCCCCCAGTGGGGACCCTCACCCCATGGAGGTTTGGCCAGCCTGGGTGAGGGGCTGATGGCTATTTTCAGGCTGGCCACAACCCCTTTAGGGTGGGGGGTCCCCACTAGGGTGCCTGGCCAGTCTGGGTGAGGGGCTGAGGGCTGTTTTCAGGCTGGCCAAGCCCCCTGGCAATGGAAGCTCCCAGCCTCTCCTTTTTTTCTTTTTTCTTTTTTTAATTCTGGGATTTATTTACCTTCTATAATTGAAACTTTGTAGCCTTGAGAGGAGCTCAGAGCCTGCCAGGGCGGGCGGGAGGGAAGCTTGGCTTCCTCCATCACCAGGGTCAACCCAAGCCTCCTGCTCGCTCCAGCTCCATGGCCAAGGCTGGCTGAAAGCAGGTGTCTGGGGTTTATTTATCTTCTATAATTGAAACTTTGTTGCATTGAGTGGAGCTCAGAGCCGGCCGCAGCAGGCAGGAAGCTTGGCTTCCTCCATCATTGGGGCAACCAAGCCTCCTGCTTGCTCCAGCTCCGTGACTGCTGGCCGCCATCTTGGTTGGGTTAATTTGCATATAGTCGCTCTGATTGGCTGGTGGGCGTGGCTTAAGGAATAGCAAAGGTATGGTCAATTTGCATGTTTGCCTTTTATTAGTATAGATTATTAACCAGTCTAACATTTTTCTCTAAGATAGAGGTCAGAGCTAAAATAAAAACATTGATGACTCAGTTGGAACTTTTACATTATCACAGCATTAGTTGCATCTGATTTGACAACTTGAGCTTCTCTTGATTGATTATCTCTTACTTAGGTTCTTGATGCCAAGTTCCACTGGATGGCTGTGGCAGCTGAAAGGGTCTTTCTCACTAATGGGCATATGGCAGCTGTTGGCATCTTCAGAAGAGCTATGGAGAAGCACAGTAAACACCAGTGACACTTTAAATCCTTATCAAGTGTACACTTTAAATCCTTATCTGACTGAACTGAGATACAGTGGTGGCTAATGCAAATAAGGGGAATGGTGCTAGAGTGGGGGGAACCAAAGACTTATTTAAATGATTCTCAAATCTTCATCCCAGGTTTACCATTCAGAACATCCCCTGCCTCTTGCCAAGGATTGACAGCTCCTCCTCATGGAACCATGGAACACACCCTCCTGGAATTGTTGAGATGCACGTGATGGCATGGCAAGATTTAGATAAAGGTGCCATGTCCAGGGAGTCTCATGATGGGATGATGAACTATATCCTTTTTCAAGAAGTAAAAGTGTAAAAATATTCATATATCAAAAGAGAGCCAGAGAATCAGGCTACTTGAGGAAACTTAACAGCTGTAAATCATCCCAGCAGAAGATAAATTCATTCTATCATCTGGAGAGAAACCTAATCTTCAGTCTATGTCATTCCATGGAGATAGGAGGGTATGGCTCATAGTCTTCCATCTTTAAAATCCATTAAGTTGCATTTAAAATTATAGAATTCACATATATTCTGTGTAGCTAGTAAAATAACATGAAGAAGGAGGAACATTAAGCATCTTTCTCATCATCTCTGCGCCTCTAAAGTAAGCAATGATAATGATCTATTATGTACCTTTTCACATTTTTCCCAAGTGAATACAAATATAGATATATTATTTTGAGTTTTTAAAATTGGGATCACACTGTATACAGTTTTATGCAACTTGTATTTTTTTAACACAACAATTTGCTATGAATATCCCTAAGTCATTCTTTTTAATAGCTTTCAGCAATCCATGGTATAGATGTACAAAAATTTATTTAATCTCCATTGGGTGAATATTCAGGGAGTTTCTAAGTTTTCACCTTTGGAACTAATGCTGCAATAAATATTTTTTAAAATACAGCATGATGAACTAGTACTGTTTTTCCTCCATAGGACCTATTCCTAGGGGTGGGATTGCTGGGTCAAAGTTTATGTGTACTTGAATTTTTAGTAGCTATGGCCAGCTTGCTTTCCAAAAAGGTGTAGCAATTTCCATTTCAATAGCAATGTGTGAGGATGCTTGCTAGCTCCAAATGCTATAGGTTTTTATTAAAAAAATGTTTAAAAATTTTTTGTCAATCTAACAGGCAGGAAAAATGGCATCTCCTTATTTTCCATTTTCCTACCTACCAGTGAAAGATGAGCATTTTTCATGTTTATTGGCCATTTGGAATTCCTCCTGTGTGAATTGCATTCTATTGTGTTCAGTTGGATATTATTCATTATGTGTTACAGATATTTTTTTCCCAGCTATCATTTGATTTTGACTTTGTTAGCCTTTGTCTTTTGTCAAAACCTATTTTTAAAATTATGTACTAGGTTTATCTTTTGTAAATATTTTAAAATTACTCAAGTAATAATATTTTTTATGTAAAGTCATTAAACATAATAAACTGAAATAAGAGAATAAAAATCACCCATTAGCATACCACCCACAGATAACTATTTATATTTTGGGGGATATACCGCCTGTCTTCTTCACACATTTCACTCCTCTCCACTGTTGAATAATAATTTTAAAAACGACAAAAAATATCACCACTGAAGTAGATAACTGTGAATGAGTATACTGATCAGACGAGAATGGAAAATGTAAATGTGAGATCCTTTTCATAGCTATATAAGACATTTATTTTTTTTAAAGTTATTTTTATTGATTTCAGAAAGAAAGGGGAGAGAAAGAGAAACATCAGTGATCAGAAAGAACCATTGATTGGCTGTCTCCTGCCCAACCCTCACTGGGAATCCAGCTGGCAACCCAGGCATATGCCCTGACCAGGAACTGAACTGTGACCTCCTGGTTTATATGTTGATACTCAACCACTGAGACATACTGGCTGGGTGCTATATAAGGAATTTATGTAATAGATGGTGAGTGATAGGTAGTACTGATCAGGAGGGAAATTGATTGTTCATATTGTAACAATTCTAAAAGGCACATTTTTTCTCATCTTACTAGTAATCTCTCTGAAATCAGGAAATAGCTTATAAGCAATGGTGGCTCACAAACACCGTAGGCCAGGCAACAGTCAGAATGTAGTCATTGTTGTATGCACATGTGTGAACTTGTTCATAGCTTTTTACAATGTCTACACTTCACTTGAGTTGTTCTCCCTGTTCGTAGTACAAATGTTGAATTTAACTGCTGTTTGAAATGTGTTCAGAAAGATCATGCTATGATTATATTATGTCCTAAACAATACTACCTAAGGCGGGAGAAATGGGCAAATTCTAGATTTCAAGATAACTAGAGGCTTGTGTGACTAATTTATGTAGTGCACATGACTGTCCTTAATACATTATCTGTACGTAATGGCATTAAAATAATGGTGCAACTTACAATTGATGGTGTCTTAAATTTAAGGTATATGGTAGTAAATTGTTTGGTTACGTAATATATATGGGAAATATATTTTTTCAAGAGGTTCTACTATGTGGCTATGCTTATTTGGGGATATTTCATGTATTACAAATAAGATATAATGAGTGAAATTAGACAAGCATGACCTAATCAAAAATAGCATCCCACAAGATACTTGAAGAAGCTGAGGTGATTAAAAAAAAAAAAAAAAAAAAGGATAGGATTGCATAGTTTTGACATGCTTGTGACCTGAGAGAAAGGCAAGCACTTGATGGATTTTGGGAGGAGTTTTCTACTAAAGTCAGTGACATAGATTGCATGGTAAAGTGTTTGAGTTATGGATAAGAGGAGATGTTGCCTTGATCTTATGAACTCAGGAGCTTCTTGGTTATTTCTCCAGTTAATGTGGATGAAGTAGAATAAATAATTCGTAAGTTCATGTCGCTCCTTCTGTTCTGCCTGTCAGCATGGCAGCGTGGAAGCAGCCCTGGACTATGAGATGGTATAATCATTCTCTGGGAGGGTTGGTCAGTCACTGGCTTTCATGATGGAAACCTGTGGCTCTTCCTGTCCCTCAATTCAACCAAAGAGGGTCAAACCTGCTCAGATTGGCTGGGGTGGTTTGGTAGCGGGAAGATAGATAGAATAAGGATTCAGCATGAACAACCATCCTTTGTAACCTAACTTAGCAGCTAACAGCACAGCCCATGGTCATCTAATGGGACTTGGACTTTTCCTTAAGAAAAACAGGACATGAGCAGGAGTACCTCATATGAAAGTAGTTTCTGTCCACTCTTATTTTAACCTCTGCCTGTAGTTTCTTATTAAGATTTGTGTTTTCTGGCTTCATCAGGAACTTGCCAGGACAAATTTTCCTAAAGTGGCCAAGTGAGTTAGGGCTTAGTACTTTTCTTAGCTTCCACTTGCCAGAAAAAAGAATGGAGGCCAAGCATTTAGAAACATTTCCCTTCTGGTAAACCCAAGTTAGTTTTGTGTAGTGTTGACCTAGCCGCATACTTTTTTTCCATTCACACGATCCTGGGAGGTTTTTTTGGTTTTTTTTAAGCCCACTGATTAAATTTTTAATTTCAGATATTATATATATTATATTATAATAGAGTTATTATTTGATAATTATTATGTTATTATATAATCTGATTTATAATACAATTTTTTGAGGTCCATAGCTGACATTTCGAACATCTGGGCCATCTCTGGGTCTGTTTCTATTACTATTTCCTCTCTTGATTATGGATCACATTTTCTTGCTTCTTCAAAGCAAGCTGCACAGAATCTTTTTTAAGTGCAAGGCAGCAGACTGTCAAAGGTTGAGAGCTTGACTGGAAAGCTGAGAAAATGCATCCAAGGCACCCTCAGACTGTACCAAGTGCTCTGAGGGCAGTGACTCTCCTAAGTTGCAGGTGGGGCTGGAGAGCTGGAAGAAGTTCTTCCTGAGGTTGAAGACAGAGCAATAAACTATCAGCTAGGATTAGCTTTGGCTGTGTATGAGAAAAAACACACAGAGTAACAGTGGTTTAAACATGATAGCAATTGATTTTTCCTCCAGACCTAAAAGTCTTAGTCCATGACACTCCTTGATGTCAGAGACTCAGAACCTCTTTACTGTATAATTCAGCCATGTGTGACTTTGGGATCATGCTCTAAGGTGTAGCATTCATATTCTAGAAAAAAAGAATAGAAGAAGTGTGAAGACGTTGGGCAAAAGGTGTTGTTTAGTGAAGGTTCTCAAAGACTGCCCAATGTACTCCTACTCATTCCATTAACAAGACTTTTCCACACAGCAACATTTAGCTGCACGAGAGGCTGAGAAACATCACCTTTATTGTAGGTAGTTTTTGTCCAGCTAAAAATCAGGGTTCTATTACCATAGAGAAAGAAGAGAGTGTATTATGGGGAGCAACTAGCCCTCTTGGTCACCAATCAACTTTCTGAGGAAGAATGTTAGAGAGTTCTGGTTTAGTTCTGAACCTTGAAACCATTTTGGGGCAGAGAGCACTGAATATGCCAATAAGATCCATTCCCATATCTGTTGTGTGTGTCTATAGAACCAGAACAGCAATATGTTCAGAGAAGAGCATCCAAGAAAACAAAGGAACTAAAAAATTATGCCACATATGAAACAGTTGAAGAAACGGAGGATCTTTAGCTTAGAGGAAAGAAGAGTTGGTGATGACAACTTTTTTTACATATTTATTTTTAAAATATTTTTTTATTGATATCAGAAAGTAAAGGAGAGGGATAGAAACATCAGTGATGAAAGAGAATCATTAATTTACAGGGAACTCATACAGCTTAACGAAAGGAAGATAAAAAATCCAATTAAAATATGGGCAAAGGACCTAAATAGACACTTTTTGAAAGAGGACATACAGAAGGCCGAGAGACATATGAAAGCACGCTCAAAGTCACTAATCATCCAAGATATGCAAATCAAAACTACACCTGTCAGAGTGGCTATCATCAACAAATCAACAAACGACAAATGCTGGAGAGGATGTGGAGAAAAAGGAACCCTCATGCACTGCTGGTGGGAATGCAGATTGGTTCAGCCACTGTGGAAAACAGTATGGAGAGTCCTCAAAAAATTAAAAATGGAACTCCCATTCGACCCAGTAATCCCACTTCTGGGAATATATCCCAAGAAACCAGAAACACCAAGCAGAAAGGACATATGCACCCCTATGTTCATAGCAGCACAATTTATAATAGCTAAGATTTGGAAACAGCCTAAGTGCCCATCAGCAGATGAATGGATTAAAATACTGTGCTACATCTACACAATGGAATACTACACTGATATAATAAAGAAGGAATTTTTACCATTTGCAACAGCATGGATGGACCTGGAGAGCATTATGTTAAGAGAAATAAGCCAGTCGGAGAAAGATAAATATTACATGATCTCACTCATATATGGGATATAATGAATAACATAAATGATGAACAAAAATAGATCCAGAGATTAAGAAACACTGAACAGACAGTCCAACCTCAGAGAGAAGGCTGTGGGGGAGGGCGTGCGAGTAAGAGATCAACAGAAGGACTAGTATGCATGCATATTAGCATAACCAATGGACCCGAACACTGGGGCGGTGTGGGCTTGTCCTGGGGGGCGTAAGTGGCAGGGAGGGGTGTCAATCAGAGAAAAAGGAGACACATGTAATACTTTAAACAATAAAAATTTTAAAAAAGAAAGAGAATCATTGATTGGCTGCCTCCTGCACACCGGGGATCGAGCTTCCAATGCAAGCATGTACCCTGACCAGGAATCAATCTGTGACCTTCATAGGTGGACGCTCAACCACTGAGTTACACTGGCCAGACTGTTTTTACATATTTAAAGGGCTATGTAGTGGAAAGTTTGGGTGAACCAGAGGGCAGAATCCAGCCAGTGGGGAGAAGTTACAGGGAGAGTAGTATGAGTTCAATATGCAGAGGGAAATCCTAATAATAAGAACTGTCTCAGAAGGTAGTGAGTGTACATTTATTTCTATCTTATCACTGAGAAGTGCTGAGGACAAAATAGTTAGTGACGAATGTGTGGTTCCTGGCCTGACGGCATCTACAATCTAGTGAGGGAGACAGAAATTGGTCAGATAATCACACACAAATAAATGCAAATCATAAAGTATAACAAGTAGTTCCTAGATTGTTGACTGGGAGAAACAGGGGACAGTGAACAGACAGAGGGGATTGGTGCTCATACAGGGTCTCAACTAAGTGACTTATGGTCTATCCTGGTTCATTGCTAGATATGTGCTTCAGGTAGTACTTCAGTGAGAAGAATAGAAAAGACTTGCCTTGGAGGGCAAAGTGAATTCCAACATTGTAGGATTCTAAAATGGACCTTCTAAACTCCCACAACAGGTCAACAGGCTAACCAGGTGCTGTTGATCTCTTGCCGGGATAGAGGAGGTTGGTTGAACTCATGTGAATTCATAGACTTGAGAACTTGAAGACTTGACTTGAAATAATTGGTTTGGGAGAAGTAAAGACCCTTTAAAATCTACATATTCTGAAAAGTTTCTGAAAATTCTGAAAAGTTTTCTCACTAAGTTCTTAAAAAAACACACAAATTCCCTTTGCCCAAGAAAACGGCCAGGAAAGAAATCATAAAAACTCTCTTTTCAGTTCTTCCAATGTCTAAATATATCAATATACAAAACATGGTAATTTTATGAGTGAAATAAGTTATACATAATGCATTCTTATGTTACTAAACGAACAGCATGACTTTATATCTGCAAAGGGCACTAAAAATAAGCTTTGTGCACATTTCAATCCCCT